CTACTTTCACAATATTTCTTATGGGAACAAATGTCGTCAAGTACTGGCACCTGAACATACTTCTGGAGTGATATAATATATAGTTAACCGGGGGTCACGGTACAGTGGACCCCGGTTTACGATCAGCTCCCAATGCGACCCAATTATGTAAGTGTATTTATGTTAAGTGCGTTTGTATGTGTATGTTTGGGGGTCTGAAATGGCTAATCTAATTACAATATACTCCTTATGGGAACAAATTCGGGTCAGTACTGGCACTGAACATATTTCTGGGAAATGAAATAATTTCATAAACCGGGGGGTCCACTGTATTTATAGAGGGTGTTGTAAAAGATAGTAAATGCTAGGGCTTGTTCGGTGAGAGGGGTGGAATTAAATTATGGGGAATTAAATACAAAATTGGAATTGACACAGTTACTTTTTGCTGATGATACTGTGCTATGGGAGGCTCTAAAGAAAAATTGCAAAAGGTTAGTGGATGAGTTTGGGATGTGTAAAGGTAGAAAGTTTGAAAGTGTACATAGAGAAGATGTAAGGTGATGTGGGTATTAAATTGATTTAGATGAGAAAATTTGGATATTCAATTGGGGAGGAGGAATTGGAAGAAGTGAATGTTTTCAGATATTTGGGAGATTGGACGTTGGTCAGCAGATGGATTTATGAATGGATAGGTTAATCCTAGAATTGATGGAAGGGGAAAAAGATGAGTGGTGAGTTCAGGTATATGTGGAGACAAAAAATGTTATCTATGGAGGCAAGAAGGGAAATGTATGAAAGTTATAGTAGTACGCCAAACTTTATGGGTGTGAAGTTGGGTTTGTAAATGCGCCAGCAAGGAGGCGGCTGAGGCAGTGGAGATTGTCCTGTCTAAGGACAATGTTGGGTAATATTATGCAGAAATTCGGAGTGTGGTAAATTAGGAGAAGTGTGGAGTTAATAAAGTATTTGTCCAGAGGGCAGCAGAAGAAGGGGTTGTTGAGAGGTTTGGGCATTTAGAGTGAACGGGGATCAAAGTAGAATGACTTGGAGAGCTTATAAATCTGTGGAACGGAAGGCGGGGTAGGGGGTTGTCATCAAAAAGGCTGGAGAGTGGGGGTAAAGGAGGTTTTTGTGGGAGAGGGGCTTGGACTTCCAGCAAGCTGTGCATGAGCGTGTTAGATAGGCATGTGAATGGAGACGAATTGGTATTTGGGACTGACTAGCTGTTGGAGTGTGAGCAGGTGGTAATATTTAGTGTGGGATTCAGGGGGAGGAAAAACGGGTTATTTTTATTTAGCCAGACTTGAGTCCTGGATAATGGGAAGTTCACAATGCCTGCACTTTAGTAGATAACAGATGTCAAGGAGGCTTTAGGAATGGTTGGGGGTGTTGTAGACTAGTGTTTACAGTTGAAAAACATATAGGGTTGAACCAGTATTTAGACAAAGGTAAAGAGGGTTCTGTGGCATTATGGATTTGGAGAAGGACATATGACAGGTGTGGATAGGGAAGCAATGTGGCAGATGTTGCAGGTGTATGGTATAGGAGGTAGGTTACTGAAGCCAGTGAAGAGTTTTTACAAGGTTAGTGAGCTCCAGGATAGAGTATGTAGGAGAGAGGCAGTTATTCCCAGTAAAAAGTAGGCTTAGAAAGGTGTGTGATGTCACCTAGTTGTTCAATGTATTTATAGATGGGGTTGTAAGAAGAAGTGAATTCGTGGGTCCTTGGCAAGAGGCGTTGGAGTTAAAAGAATAAAAATTAAACACAAAGTGGGAGTGTCACAGTTGCTCTTTGCTGATGACACTGTGTTTTTTGGGAGATTCTGAACGATAAGTTGCGAAGGTTGGTGGATGAATTTGGTAGGGTATGTAGATGTAAGAAAATTAAAGTGAATACAGGAAAGAGTAAGCTTATGAGGATAACAAAAGATTAGGTGACAAAGATTGGAATATCAGAGTGGAGGGGAGAGAGTATGGAGGCAGGATGGTGAATGTTTCAGATATTTAGGAGATGGACGTGTCGCAGATGGGTCTATGAAAGATGAGGTGGAATCATAGAATTGATGAGGGGAAAAAAGGTTGTGTGAGTGGTGCACTTAGGAGTCGGTGGAAACAAAGAACTTTTGTCCATGGAAGCAAAGAGGGAAATGTATGAGAGGTATAGCTGTACCAACATCGTGTATGAGTAATGATGCATAAGTGATGAATGTTGCAGCGAGGTGGAAGGCTGGAGGCTGTGGAGATGTCATGTCTGAGTGCAATGTGTGGTGTGAATATAATGTAAAGAAATTCCAGTTTGGAAATTAGGAAAGTGTGTAGGATTACAAAAAACTTTTTCCAGAGGGTTGAGGAGGGGTTGTTGTAGGTGGGTGGTTGGTTTCGGACATGCAGAGAGAATGGAACAAAAACAGAATGACTCTGAGTGTATAAATCTGTTAGTGGAGGGAAGGCGGGGTGGTAGGAGTCGGCCTAGGAGGGTCTGGAGGGAGGGGGTCTTGTTAAAGGTACGGTTTTGGTTGTGGAGGGGGTTGACTTCCAAGAAAGGTGCCATAGAGCGTATTTGATAGGAGTGAATGGAGACAAATGGTTTTTAATACCGGACGTGTGTTGGGCAAGTCTGTGAGCGAAGTAACATTTATGAAGGGGGTTCAGTGGAAACCGGCAGGCCGGACTTGAGTCCTGGAGATGGGAAGTACAGTGTCTACACTCTGAAGTGTTAATGTTGCAGTTTTATAACTGTAGTGTAAAGCACCTTTCTGGCAAGACAGTGATGGAGTGAATAATGATGAAAGTTTTTCTCTTTCAGGCCACACTGCCTTGGTGGGAGACGGCTGATGTGTTAATAAATAAATAAAATGATTTACCGCAACCTAACCCTACAGTAAGTCAAGGACCACCTGTATACAAAGACCACCCTGAACACACTTCCACAAGCCCCCAGAACACTCACACACTTTCCTAAGTGTTTATTTGCATGACTCACAAAATCGTAATGACACTATTGCAACAAACCATACAAGACGGGGTTAGAACTCTGATTGCGGGTTCTATCCACATCCGTGATATGGTTTATTCATTTGCATAACAGAACACAGAACACAAGTGTTCAGTGAAT